TACACCTTCGTGGGGTCTCCCGAGGCCGTTGTCGAAGGAGCGCTGAGCGCTGCCCGTGCAGCTGGGCAGCTCATTGACATGAGACAGCACACAGGTGAGCTGGGGGGTCACACAGGAGCTGACCTGGCATGGAACATCCCTCTGTGGTGTTGCGTGGTCATCTCCAGGTGCATCTGGCATGGCTGGAGCTGAAGGCAGCTGCTGGTGGCCAAGCACAGCATTTTACTGCAGCTGCTGGGGTGGATGGTGGTGGGAACATGCTAAGCTACATGTGACCAAGGATAGGAGCAAAGGAAATGGCAGGAAGATGTGGCAGGGGAGGGTGAGGTTGGCCATGAGGAAAAGGTTCTTGAGGCACCCAGAGGGTGGTGGAGCACTGGAACAGGCTCCCCAGGGAGGTGCTGATGGCACCAAGCCTGACAAGATTCCAGCAGCATTTGGCCAAGGCCCTGAGGGACATGGTGTGAATGTTGGGCTTGTCCTGTGCAGGGACAGGAGTTGGACTCCATCATCCTTGTGGGTCCCTTCCAACTCACAACATTCTGTGATTCTAAGCTCTTGCTCATCCTCCCAATCCAGAGAGGCGAATCCCTCCTGTCCCTGAGCTGGAGTAGACATTAGTGCCACAAACCCAACTTTCCTCACAGCAGCAGAGCCCAGTCTGCAAAACAGGCTGGGAAAGGGGCCATCGTCCCTCTTTGCTTGCTCTTCCCAGCTCCCCTCCTATTCTATCTGCTCTGTCCCCAGGTGAGCATCCTCGCATGGGGGCCCTGGATGTCTGCCCCTTCGTGCCGGTGATGAACGTCAGCATGGAGGAGTGTGTCACCTGCGCCCACATCTTCGGGCAGCGCTTGGCAGCGGAGCTGGGGGTGCCTGGTGAGTGAAGGCCAGGAACCTCTGCCTGTCCCACCCCACGTGCTTCCAGCTCTGGAGAAGCTGCACACCTTTTACAAAAGCTTAACCAAGGAGAAATTAGGGTTTGCTCTCAAATGGGCAAAACGGGGTCTCACTAGATGACATGCCACCAGCCCCTGCCCAGTGGTCCTCACCTCCAGCTCTGTCTTGCAGTTTACCTGTACGGAGAGGCTGCGCGGGAGGAGAGCAGGAGAGCCCTGCCCACCATCCGTGCTGGGGAGTACGAGGCGCTCCCTGAGAAGGTGAGCCTGGCAGCACCCAGATGGGTGGCACAGGCTGGGTAGAGCCGAGCTGCACCTCCTTAACATCAGGGAGGGTGCTGGGGGCTGCCGTGGTCCCTTCGCCTGGAGAGGAGCTGATGAAATGCCTTGGGTGCTGCTGGACATAGAGGTGGTCATGGCAGATGCTGGCCGGGGAGGGAGATGCTGTCCCTGGGAGGGTGGTTCTTGCTGCCCAGTGGTGTCAACCCACGTGTTCTCCCCCCCCCTCCTCTCCAGCTTGCAAAACCAGAGTGGGCTCCTGATTTTGGACCCCCAACCTTTGTCCCCCGTTGGGGGGCCACAGTGACGGGCGCCCGGACCTTCCTCATTGCATACAACATCAACCTGCTGAGCACCAAGGAGCTGGCTCACCGCATCGCCCTCAACCTCCGGGAGCAGGGTCGCGGCACCGATCAGGTACCCCCGTGCCGGCCACGTGCCGGGAGCAGAGCTGCTCACCTCCCGCACCTCCTGGGCAGTGCCGTGGCTGTGACTCTGACTGTCTTGGCAGCCCGGGCGCTTGAAGAAGGTTCAGGGCATTGGCTGGTATTTGGAGGAAGAGAACATAGCACAGGTTTCAACCAACCTGTTGGACTTTGAGACCACACCGCTCCACGCCGTCTACGAGGAGGTCTGCCGAGATGCGGAGGTGGGTGACATGGGGGGGGTACACCCTGCTTGTTTCAGTGAGGACTTTGCAGAGGATGTCTTCCTCCAAGTTCTTCTCCCCATCCCAAGGTCAGGCTCTGCTTTCTTTCATGCTCAGCTCAACCAAGCTGGACAGAGAGCTGAAAAGCACAAAAAGCTCACCAGCTTGCTGCTAGCCCCCCACTCCTCCATTGAAGGCTTTTCTGTGAGCTCCCCAGGTCCTGGAAAGGGATGAGGACCACCAGGCTGGGGTGGTAGCCAGCAGCAGAGCAGGTAGCACTGGGGACAGTCATGTTTCTGGTGTCCTTTCTAGGCTCTGAACCTCCCCGTGGTGGGGTCCCAACTGGTGGGGCTTGTTCCCAAGAAGGCCATGCTAGATGCAGCTGAATTTTACATCAAGAAGGAAAAACTCTTCATCCTGGAGGAGGAACAGAAGATCAGGCTGGTAAGTGGCTACTCTTGGTACCAAGACAAGGGTGGGATCATGTGAGGGACACGTTCATCCCCCCCAGCCTCCCAAAGAGGCACTGAGCAGAGGTTTGGGACCACGGCAGCCCCTAGGCGTGTCACTTGTCTCTGGGGATGGTGCCCCAGCAAGTGGGTCAAGTTGCTTTATTGTCCTGAGGCCACTGAGATGCTCAGGGAGCAGAAAGCCCATCCCATTAAGGACAGAGCACAGGCAGCAGCTGCCCGGGTTGCCTGCATGGAGATCAGGAAGGGAAGGACACCTCCCCAGAGCTCAAGGACAGTGTGTGGCCTTATGGGAAACTGCCCCAGCACCTATGTAAGCTGGAAACGAGGAGATGGATTCTGCTTTTCAGCTGCAGGAGGGAGGGACTTTTCCACCCTATGGGGACTGTGCTAGATAAGAGCTAGCTAATTATTGATCCAGGCAGTTTCCAGTTAGTCGGAGGTGGCTGCACGCCGCCTGCAAGTTTGGGATGGGACAGGCTGGTGACGCTGGCTGTCCTCTCCCTGGGTGGTGGCCTGAGCAACTCTGTCCTAGGGCTGAATCACCCACGGTTAATTAACAGCAGGGAATGAGGATGCAACAGGACTTATTACAACGAGGCTGACTTAGTGGTGCTGCTCCTTGCAGGTGGTCAACCGGCTGGGCCTGGACTCCCTGTCCCCGTTTCACCCCCGGCAGCGCATCATCGAGTAGGGACCCCTATCCTACTGCTCATCATGGTGCCCATCCCTGCTCAGATGGGGGGTTCCCGCTGCCTGCGTCTTGCACTCACCTTGTTTTGGCAGTGACACCTGCACCCAGCTCCTCTTCACCCCCGGGGGGACATCTCTGCTGAGTGTTGTGCAGGCGTGGGGTGGTCCCTGTCCCCAAGTGCTGATGGTTGTGAATGTGGGGTGGGAGGACTCCAGGTCACTTAGGCAGGCAGCAGGAGCAGGTTTCATGGCCAAACATGAGCATGTAGATGTTCAATCTCCCACCCCATCCCCAGCCCAAATGTCACTGCTTCTGGCTCACACGCTGCCCTCCAAGAGAGATACACGTCTGTGGGGGGGGAGAGGAAGGGAAATCCCCCTGGGGGGGAGAGGAAGAGAAATCCACCCATGCCGAGGTGAAATCAGGACGTGCACTTAAAGTCCTCATTGTCCCCCGCCGGGGACATGGCTGCAGTCGTGCTTCTGTCCCACCAAACTCCGTTTGCATGAGCCCACCCAGTCTAACACAGAGCAACCCCCCCCCACCACCAGGCCATGTGCTCCCCAGCTGTCCATCTGTCTGTCCCCATGGAGCTCCTTGTCCTCTCCCTGAACATCCCTCTGGGTTTTTTGGGCTAGTGCCCTTCCCAGCCACCCCCAGAGCCAAGGGGTGGATGAGGAGGAGAGGGCAGTGCCGGCTGAGAAGGGACTGGGTGGTGGTGGTGGTGGGTGTCCCTGTACCTGGGGGGCTCTGACCCATGGGGCTGCTGTGCTGTAGGTACCTGGTGCAGGCAGGAGGAGGGGAAAGGGGGCCGGTGGGC